GAAAAATAAAAGGATTAAATGTTTAACTTCTTTAAGAAACATGGGAGAGGCAAAACTGCTCATGAGCCAGATACAGTAGGTCTGAGCCTTGGACTCTGCTCCTTGATGGATCCATGTGGCTTTTCTAGTGGCTGTTTATTTTAAAATGCCACTCCCAGACGGCCTCCCTAGTGATGACAGGGCTGTGGCACTCTCTCAAGAGGTAATGGAGCTGCAGAGGCAACTGAGCTTAGGGTTCCACTCTTGCAGAGATCTTCAGCTGGAAGCACACAGGCTGCAGTCATCCCAGGGAGATAACCAAATGTCTGAGGACTGCTAGCAAAAATTATTCTCTGCTTCCTTTCCCCTCCCCTGTCCCCATGCTGCCCAGACATACCACAAACATTCTCCACTAACCCAAATCCAAGCCAGCATTAAGTGTCTCATGCTGCTCCAGAGGGTGGCCAGGCCACCTCCCTAAACCTCCTGGTAGCAACCTGGCCTTTCAGCTGCCGCTCCTGCAAGGGATCTTAAAGCAGGCCCTGAAAACAGCAGAAGCTCTTTGGTTTTAGCTCTCACCCACATCTACATGAATGCAGTGCAGAGTGTGATACCAGCATTCCCCCATGAGTGAGTATCTAAGCAGACAGGCTCTAAAGAAGGGGGAGACCAGGTAGCCTGGGGGCTGGGAAGAGAGGGGGAGACACAGAAAATTATGGGGGCCGCAACAGCCAGCAAACAGTGCGGACTGTATGGACAGCAAGTCCACCCAGCTCTTGCTCAGAAGGTTGCACTTCAGACAGCAAATCAGCATCTCTACCAGGGTAACTGGTAGCACCAGTGGCTCCTAGGAGTCTTCAAGACTCCCTTAAAAAGGGAAGGGAATGAATAGACCTGCCTGTTCCTGCTCCTCTAGCCAACAGCTTAGGTGAGAATCCACTCAGGACTCTGATATCTCATCTGGGTGGTGTTTGAAAAAAAAATCAACAACCCTCCTCACTTCTACTTCTTCCACCTTTGTTTCAGTCTGGGAATTGGCCTCTGTTAGTCTGCATTAGACATGGTCCGAGCAGTGTCACGCTTTCAAATACTTCAGAGACACTAGACAAAAGCACAAGTATCCCTAGCAGTTTAGGAAGCAGAGGACAGCTAATTCTTTAGCCCAAAGAATTGCTGCTTAAACTCGTATTACGGGAATTTCAGGTGTTCAGAAATGCCCAAAACAGATTTCTCAGGCACCTATGGCAGCACTATTTGACACCATGAGGTGAGGTGGTGCTGGTATCTGACAGCAGCCAAGTAGTGGCTTTTTTTTTCTTTTTTCAGGTTTGACCAACAAAATGACAACCTCAACAAAGTGAAATGATATTGAAATAAACAACACTTTAGCCTAGCAGTCCAATTTTTCTGGCTCACCCTTACTAGGCAATACCCAGCTTCTGGCAGCATACTCTAGCTTTTCAGTCATCAGAGCCCCAGACTGATGACTCTCCCTGGAGAAGAGGACTCTATCAGCCTGCAATAATTATGCCTTCCCTACAGCAGCAGAGAAAAAAGTTTCCTCTGGCATTCCTTCTTTCTTCCCTGTTTCCTATTTCTTCTTGTAGCTGAAACCACACTTTTCAATTCAATATTTTCTCAATTTATTTGCATTTGCAACTGTCAAGGAACTCCATTTAACAATGAGCTTAACTTAAACAAATGATAAATTTTAAGTGTAAATGACACATTTCAAGGCTACCCAGACAGCTCTAGTCATACAGCTAAACACAGAGTCAGAGTAACTGCTGCTCTCCTTGGGAGCCTGAAACACTCCTCTAAAGCACTTTGTTAAAGTCAGGAGAGCGATCCAGGTTTCAGGGGAGTTTGGCCATGCTCCTTCCAGCTGCACATGTGTAGGAAGGGTTTTCAGCAGCTGTGGAGAAAGTCTGGCCTATTATCTAGCTCTCTCCTCACAGTACATAAGCTTGAGGAACTGTGCTTCTCTATATAGGGGAATTTAAACCAGAAATTAGAGATGATTGTAAAGTACTGACTACAAATCTGCATTGAGGGTCTAGTCCCACCACAGCTCCTCACTCTTGTCCTTCACACAGCTTCCACCAGGGCTTAAGGTGTTGGAGCCAAGCACTCATCTTCCCCAACCCAGACATCAGCATGTTTCATCACCGCACTGCTAAATCTGAAGAAGCCTTCACAGCTTCATATCGGCCAGTTCTGCTCATCTTCCATCAAGTTCTTCTCAGCCTGGCTGCTACCTAGGTTGCACACTGCTGCTTTCCACTGGAACATTATGCATCTCATGAGTGATGATTTTGCTACCTCTCTCACACACTCTGCCAGCACTCCCTGGCCCAAGAACTGTGTTCATTCTTTGATGAAGGCTAAGGGTGGCCGCACAGCAGCCATTAGGTAGATAAACGCTTCAGTTAAGTCTCACAGAGGTGTCCATTAGACATGTGGATGCATGTTAAATTAGGAATGACTTCTCTGAAGTCCCACAGTGTCATCTGCAATACACAAATAGCATTTCACGCACAACAGGCCAGCTCCAGGTTAGTGATAATATCCTGTTCATTACTTGTAAAGAGGCCAGTGCTGGGATGAGGTACCAGAAAAATTTTCTCTCCTCATTTATTCTGTTATCTCACTTTTGCAAACATCTGCAGGCTCTGATTTGTATTAAATTATCTTTTGGGATTATGTGCTCTCTTAGGCACTTCTCTTGGTACACTATTTGCCGTAGCATGGTAAATGGACTGTTTTATCAAACTCAACAATTTACAATTCATGTTCACTGGTATAAACACTGTCAAATTATTGCATGAATAAAGGCATTTTGAGAAACACAGATGTCTTGACTATACTGGTCTGTCAAGAAGCACTTCTGACCTACCATGCTAGTCAACTTGATGTCTAGCAGGACAGACCTACAGAAGCTGGCAAAGCTGGAAACCTTTGAGGAGAGAATACAGCCAGGATAGATGGACAAATAGATCAGAGCAACACCAGATATACCAGAGCAAAGAGAGAGCCAGTTCCTGCACACACTGCCTGACTTTCCACCTATTTCTAGGATGTGTTCATACTCTGTGCTGGAATTCATAGAGCTGAGCTGTCAATATAGGGGCCAACCAGCTGCAGGGCCATGTCCCAGCACTCTTAAAATCCTCCACCATAAATACCAGATCTCTAACTCTGCCTGCAAGCTTATGTTTGAGGAATATATATACATATTTTAGAAACAATGGAAATGTACCTGAGTGTTGTGTGCTGCATAGCAGAGAAAACAAAAATACCCCACTGCTGTTAAATGACTGATAGGGCTTTATAAATGTTTGTTTGTCCCAGTTCACAACCAAACAAATAACGTTTGCTTGGCAAATAAGTTTGCTCGTGGTCACTGTGCTCTTTAAGAGTGATATGAACAAAGGGGAAACAAGGAAAGATCGGCCTGGAATGCTTGGTAACTTTGTACAGCTCGGTCTTGTCTGCAAAAAGACACAACTGGCAGCAGAGTCCCCATTGCTAGAGGCTGATACCCTGGATGCCAAATGTGTAACACAATGTGGCTGCAAATAGAGAGTTGTGAAAACATGCACCAGACAGAGGGAGTTTTTCATACTGGAAGGTAAGATTGGTATTTCAGAGATACCTACAGCCAAACTACCTCACTTTAGCAATACTTACTGAGTCTTAGAACTGAAGCCTTAAAATCTAAAGGGCTGCAACCATAACGCTGCCACGGCTGGTAATGGATGCTGTGCTGAGCACCTCCAGATGGGCCACACAGCAGCAAGTCCCCTGAAGCCACCAGCCCCTGCCCCAGCAATGGGGCAGTGGAGCCACTTTCCAGCTGCCCACAGCCCTGCCCTGCCTGGGAGGTGCCTAGTTCCCCGGGGCTGGGGCTGCAGACATTTTTCAGCTTTAGGGAGATACAGGCAGACCCAACACCCCACCCCAACGTGTCCCATCTCTCCCCTCCAGACCACTGAGCAACCTGGACTTTCAATTGCGGTTGCACCCTCTCCTCCCCCTCCTCTCCAGCCTCACAGCACAGAAACTGCTGTAAGAAAACAAAATAAAATGGAAACAGCACTAATTCCAAGGCAGATTTTACTTGGTTAAGTTTTATTCACGTGTACAGGGGCAGTGTCAGCTTTAGCAATCCAAACAAATACTCAAACAGGTACAATTTAGGTGGATCTTCTTTTGCCAAATCAGCACAGCTCTGCTGGCGCTGAAGCTGGTGATAATGATGACAACTGGTGGAGCAAGGGGAAGGAGATGTTTAGTGTTGGTGTGTTGGTCTCATAACTCATCCGAGGTGGTGGAGGGATGCTGCAGTATCTCCCTGCAGCTCCCTTTGCGTGGGCTGTGGTCCAGGTTTTGTTATGGGAATAGATGCTGCTCCCAGCTGCCCACACTGCCGAAGGGCAAGAGGTGTCAGATGCTAAAAGCAGCATCTGACCAAAGGCATGGACATTAAACACTGAGACACAAAAGAGGAAAAAAGTGTCAGGCAAGAACGAACCCAAGGGAAAAAGCAGGTTAGAGAGATGGTGTAAGGAGCAGGAAATTGTGTGCAAGGAACAATGGTGGAAAGTGTCATGGTCATACAGGCATCGGTCAAATTCCTCTTTCTATAAACTGGATGGAGCAAACCCATATAAAGAGAATTTATGTGGCACTAAGGAAACAAGGTTGGACAAAGCCCCAGCCACAGAAAATAATGAGGAAAAGGAAACCAGTAGGAAATGAGGTGGAAAATAGCACACAAGAAGAAAAAAGGATACCCAGACAGGAATTAGTTTCTCCCACTCATAACTGCTATCTTATCAGCCTGGCACTGTTCAGTATTTTTATCCTTCCTGCTCTTTGCAAATCTGAGTGCTGAGTGGTTGTCACTTCATCCTGAGAGCTGTGGTGTCCATCAGTTGTTCAGGAAAAACTCTTTCTCAGCTGTAAACATATAGAGATTGAATCAAACTGTATAATCTGGGACAAGGATCATCCCAAAGACCTTGAAACCTGAAGGGAGACAACATAACTGCATTTAGGTCCAGAATTTTGGTTAAAGCCCTTCTTCACGCACGTGCTGAAGGTCATTACATTAACATTCAGGTTAAGGCAGAATAAACGCTATTACAATTCAGTAGTAATCATTTCTGTGAACAGCTTTTGCAAATCCCACTCTATCATTACCACGGTCAAAAACGCAGTAAAAGGCAGACATAAAGACATCTCCTAAAATCCATAGTGGGCCACTGCGAGTGGCGATGTCAAGAGACTGAAAGCCACTCATGCAGAAGGTTTGGTCTTCAATAGACTCCTGGAAGGGAAAGAACACCTCCTTGTGGCTGTCTGCTCCAGCTCCAGCTCAGGGGAGCGAGGAGCAGAGGATGGGAAGCCACGAGTACGCACCTTTATGACGTACTGCTGTGCTGTCAGCCTGTACTCGTGGTGTCCAATCGTGAAGCTTATGTGAGGCAAGCTGGACAATCTTCTACAGTCTACAAGAAACTGTATGCGATGCACTGACTGAGAGGGGATCAGTTTGCCTTTTTTAGAGTATTACCCCTTGAATTCAAGACTTTTGGGGCAGGTAATGAATTTACTACAGAGAAACAGCATCAGGTGACTTATGGCCCAACACTGCCCTTCAGCTTTCCAGCTCCTGCACTGGGTCAAACCAGTCTAGCAGCCCAGACCACTGCACCAAAGCCCCTAGGGACCCAGGGCTGATGAAAATCCTTGTGAGTCCCAAAGGAACAAGGTGAAGGAGGACTCTGACACCCGCCCTGTACAGCTCAGAAGCATGATGGCTTCAGCTCACTCCACTCCCCCCTGTAAACATCATTGTTTTCAAGGGAAGAAAGAGTCAGTGAGGGATACAGCACTTTATACTTGTACTCTGCCCTGGAGTGGGATTTAAAGAGTAGAAAACAAACTAAACTCTGGCATGGTCATTAATTTCCATAAATAATACATTCACTTACAGTAACACAGAAGATCATTTCCTGGCCTTTCTAGTTATTTCATGGAACAACTGGTGTGTTAACTAGCACTGCAGAATGCTCCAAGCCCCAGAGGGATTTTTGCTGTAAACTATAGTGTTTAAAGTCATTGTTTCAGAGTCCTTCTAGAAGGAAGAATCTATTTTCTGTTGTTGTTGTTAAATCTTCTTTATGAAAATATAGCCCTAAATCTTCTGTATATTTATCAGGTATCACACCATTAGAAAAAAATAAACCATGCAATATAGAGAAAAAGGGTAAAAAAAACAGTGTAATGGTTTGTAGGATATAAGAAGCAAGACATAATAAATTTACATAGCTAGTACATCCAGAACAAATTAATTCTTGCTGGAAAGAGATAAAACTTCTGGTAAAATCACTGATGGATGCATCTACTTGTACTGGGATAAATCTGAGCCTCTTTACTCAGCCTGTCTGTGGTTTCTGTAAAAACAGTCATAGAAAGTCTTATTTTCAGGATGCTTTTTTTTTTCAAAATATGAGATTTTGGCTGAGTGCTCTGATGTCAGTACTGGAGTATTATAAACGTAAAATGCAATGACCTGTTTCTTGCTTGTATTACAGTAATAGACGTGCATTGGAAATATATATTTTATCTATATCTGTTTGTATGTACCATTATAAAACCAACTTGTTATTCAAGCATGCTCTTTGACATGTATCTCAAAATGCGAATGAAAACCAAATTTAAGGTTTAATTGAGAAAGAATCAGGAGGATTCTAGTTCTTGGGAGTTACACAGATGCCACTCCAGATCCTCCTCTTACAGAAGGAGGCAGATTAAAGGTCCACTTTGAACTTTGCCCAGTGCACTGGGCAACCATAACACTTCAATTTCTCCCAAGTGCAGTTGTGTGTCAGGATCAAGACAACTGCAAAGCTAACAGAAGCCATACGTGGCAGCTTTACTCGGGGCACTGGAGCTGTGGTGATGTAGTAATTACACATGGGAGTCAGCCAAGGGCCAGCAGTAAGGCACAGTAAAAACAAGGGGCTCTTCCCCTGGAGGCGGGTGGGTTTAGCTGCCTCAGGCTTGTTATCTCAGTACTTCAGATGTTACCACAGTTTGGTCATTCCATCTGAAAATTGCCAGCAGGGAGATGAGAAGGGTGGCAGGGAGACACCCCAGCTTGTCCCATGGACAAGGCAGTGGGAAAGCACAACTTACCTTGAGCAACCCCAGCTCACACAAGCCCCCCAGAGAGGTGTGGGGAGCTGGACACCACAGGTGTGGGAGCAGAGGGGTGCTGCCAGGGGAGCCATTGCTGGGCTGTAATTATGATACCTTTCCCTTTCCACCAGGCTGGCCATTGGCCCAAAACCCCTCCTGGATTGAGCGAGATGATGGATATAGCCAGGGACTTTGAAAGGAAGTGCTTCTCTGATTTTTCCAAAAGAAAATGATCTCTGGTGTAGAGTATGGACCAATTGCTCAAACTGACACCCTCAATACTTCCTTACACACCAATACTGATGAGTATGGGAGAAGGTGGACATCTGGGAGGTGAGCATGCCCCTGGAGGGCTTGGTCAGCGGTGCAGAGGGGTTGAAACCAGCATGGTTCTGAGTCCAGTGCTGTCCTGGAAATAAGGCTTCCCCTGAGACCTTTCTGAACAGTTATTTCAGTTATTTTCCCACCCTGTAAGCTCTTTGCACACAGTATCAATTTCTCTTCCTCTCTGGCTGTTTTCTGGCTGTATAGTTTTTACCTCTCCAGTATGTGATGGACTTGCCCCAATATACTCCTGTAATCTCCTGATTTGTGAAGAGGGGCCGGTGATAAGGGAAGTGCCTGAGTCAACGATGGCTTCGCAGCCGTGGGAGCAAAATGCCACCCGGCCCTGGATCTTTATGCTGCAAGTGATAAACAAAAGCATCTTTAAGCAAGTGGTATATGCACCATGACTGAAGAAATGCATAATTGCTGGCTGAAATGTCAGAGCACAGTCTGAAGTTAAAACTAGCTGCCAAGATTTCCCAGTCTTAAAAGAGAAGGACATCTTTGAAAGGCAAGAAAAAAAATTAAAGGATACTGCATGAGGAAGGCTTCTCATTTGTGGACCCACTTTTTTTCTCTTAGGACTCCTACAGTCCTAATTATTTGCCTCCTGCCAATGAATTTGTCCTCACCCACAGGTATGTGTCCTCATCATCTTATGCAGCTGGAGGAGGAATGAAGGAACACTGACTGCTTTGACTAAGGCTCACAGGAAAGATGAGAGCAGGCCCTGGACCTGGATTCAGTTCCTGGGTGCCCCAATCACTTAACTGAACAGTCCATCAAGAGTCAAGCATTGGTGTATCATATTAAAACATATCAAGATACTCTCCCAGAAACCAGCTACCCACGTCACAGCAGGTTTAGAGAGCTCATCAGCTGTGGTCTCATCCTGACAAAGCCCCTCTTTGAGAGGCACAGGAGTAAAACACTGCAGTGGAGTCCTCCTGCATCACTGGTTGTTTCTGCCTCTGCAGGTGTTACCTCCACCAGGTTTTTCATACATACATACATACATACTTGTTCAGGTGTATTTGCCAGTAGCTTTTCTCAGTGACTGGGACCCAGTGGATTGAACCTTTGTAGAGGGTATGGTCTATGCCCCCAAGGATCAACACGCCACCGTTCTCAGTGTCATCTCCTCTGAAAGAACAAGACAGGTTGACACAGACATGGGAGTATGCCATCACACACCAGTGAGATTACCCTTAAAAAGCAACAGGCAAACCACAGCCCTTTCTAAATTCAGATATGAATGGTGGAAAGGAATTATTTCTAAACTATAACTGAATATGTCCCAATGCAAAGCCTCCAAACAATCTCTGAGAAGACTTATTGTAGGCTGCCAAGGGCTACAATATGCATCAAGAACAGGTTGAGGCAGTTGCTACTCTCACCTCTGAATAAATGCTGATAAATTCATGCAGTTACAGGTAGGTCCAGATGAGATAACAACATTTATTTTCTGAAATGTGGCTACTTGGGTGTAGCATGACACTTCTGTTCCTCTCCACTGACCAGAAAGAAACCTCTGGCAAATTAGACCCAGTAAGTCTGAGCTGGGAGCTTTTCTTTTGTTTGTGACCAGCTCCAACAACAATAACTGTCTGCCTAAAAATGCATGGTCATTCCCAGCACAGTTTTCGTTTTCATTCCATATTTTCCCATGTCAAATTGTGGGAAAAACAAAACAAAACAAAACAAAAACAAACAAAAACCCCCACAAACAACCTACACAAAAAATTACTTTTTAGAATTGAAGATTTATACAGATGTACTGTTGTCTCAACAATTAAAATAGATTTGCTTCTTTTTTTGGCAGTGTTACTTCAAAGACTGACCTGTTCAGGTAGAAAGAGAAGACTGGCTCCTCTACCAGCTTCTGGTTCATGATGCTGTCAAACACAGGCAGAGCATTGCCCACTGCTAAGGAGGGGTAGCCTAAGCCCAGCACACCATCAAAGTGGGCAAGGGAAAAGGTTAATCCTGGCTCAAAAACTGACTCGCCAAAGTCCTGTCCCGTGATGGAGATGTTACTTATCTGTTTGGTACAAGTGAAAGTAAAGACTCTGTCAATTACAAGAAAGTAGCCACATTTGAAATCCATATGATAGATTCATTCATTTTATAATGCCTGAATATCCTTGTATGACTTGCATTAACATTGCAGGTCCCCATTTGGTGGGTAGGCTGCACGGATTCCTTTTAATACCTTAATTCTGCTGATGTTTCTTCATAAACCCAGGACAGGACTCAAAGAGAGAAGCAGAAATGCAAAGTAAAATCTTTGGGATTTGTCTGGGTAGCCCAAAGCTGGAGCAGCACCCACACCCTTCAGCACCTGGCTCGGTGAGACCTCACTCTCCCCTTACCTAAACTAGGCATGTTTTTCCAGGGCAAGGCCAGGATATGAACCACCCTGAAAAAAACCTAGCTGACCTGGAGGCTGACACCCATTTTAGGTGGACGCTCACCTGCAGCGTGTCTTTGCCAGCTATGCCCAGCAGCTGTCCCGTGCCATACTGCAAGGAGAAGGCTTCCCCTCCGTGCTCGTATGAATCCGACAGAAAGGACTTAAATTTCTGGTGCACTCCTACACAAAACAAATGACACCTGCGCACCAAGGGGAGGTCTGGGCAACGCACCCGCTCCTCAATGCACAGCCAGCCAAGATGCAGGTGAGGGAGATTTTTGCTTGTCTTATGAGGGAGGTGTCGATGGAGGTGCCCATTCCCTCAGAGGCTTTTTCTGTACCCTGGATGTTCGTTTGGATTTTAAAGACAAACTAAAACAAGAATGGGCATTTCCACCGCTATTTGTAGCTCTCGCAGGTTTATTTTCATGTCTTTTTCTACCAGACACCTCATGGTGCAGAGGGACACTCGGCAGCTGCAGCCGGCGCCTGCCCTGGTGGCAGGGTGGAGACAGCGGAGCAAGCCAGGGAGGGCAGAGCGGCTCTCAGGGGTGCTTCAAATCCTCCCCTCCCAAATCCCTGCGCAGGCACGCTCCTTGGGCAAGGAGAGGCGGCCGAGGTACCCAAGACACGAGGAGTGTAAGGGAGGGTAACGTTTCTTACTGCATGCTTCGCTGATGCAATAAGCGGAAGGGACCCAAAAATTGGAGGAGCCGGTGTCAAAGACGACGGTGAACCTCTGGGGCGGGGTGCCGACGCTCACCACGCCGTAGTACTGCGCCTGGGGAGGAAGGACCCGTCAGCCCCGGGCTGCCTCCCGCCGAGCTCTTCCTCGGGAAAAGGCAGGACCGGGGCCGCCACGCAGTGCTTTGGCGCGGTGGCCGGTGCCATTTCATTTAAATTTAAACCCCGGCTGGCATCAGAGGGCCCCGGCCGGTGGCACAAACGCTGTCACATGTGGCTGGGCTTTTCCCTTTGCAATTAGCAGCTGTTAGCGAGTCAAAAAATGAATTCTGCTTCACATACTGTATCTGATGTGCTGAACAAAGTTCATCCAGACGATAAAGAAACCACTAACCATCCCTGAACACCAGCTGAGGCTAGACACAATCCGTGAACACGTGAATGCTGGAGTGAAGAGTTTATCCGTATCCCAGATGCAAGTGTCTAAGTGCCCCTATCTGGCCCTGGAAGAGCACTTCAGCATTAAGAGACCTATTTTTAGGGAGAGGCATTTCTGGAATTCAATAAGGGATAGAAAAGCAATAGCCAGTGCCAAGCCATTTGTAGCAGTACAAATATTTGAATAGGTATCTTCAAGTGCATACTTGTATATTAACACAGTGAATATAGTTTCTCATCCCAGAGTTTACAGTCTGAATGAGATAATCATGAAAAGCCAAGCAAGTGCACCATTTAAGAGAATACCCAGCCATACAACAGGATTTTGTTCCTTCCTGTATTAAACAAGCCTTTCACAACTAATCTGTAAAGTAAGGCAGCTCTAAGACACATACATCCAAAAAAAAAAAAAAAGAAACAACCCACCCAGAAAAACCATAACCACACTGCACTGAAACCTCCACAAAATTGTTTCTGGTGCTGGCTGGACATGCTGGGGAAGCAGCTTTTGGTTTGTCCTTTTGAGAGTTATCCCCCTTCGATAAGCTTAAAGCAGGACAAAATGTTTTGGTCTCCTTTGTTCCTCTTCACACACGCCTCTAGCTCATCGTGGCACATTTCTTTATGGCCCTCAGGTGTCAGGAAGTTCTTGCTGAATTGTTTCGGCCTTCCCTTCCCTGTTCAGATGCAGCCTCCACAACATATCTGCAACTTAGCTGCTTATTCTTTAGATAAGCATAACAGAAGAATCAGATAAAACAGAAAACAAAGACCATCCAAATGGACAAAATGCTACACCCAGGAAAGACTATTACGAAATTGTTGACCTGCTGACTTGCTTGTCTGAGATCAAATGAAACCCATATTTTTCCTTTTTCAATTCAGATGGTAAATTCAGTCAGGTTAGTGTGAGACCCAGGTCAGTGTCCAATATTTAATACACATGAAGCTCAGGAGATAAAGGCAGAAAGATAAACGCTTTACTTGGGTCTTTGTTATCACTGATTCATGACTCCACATGATCAAACAAATGAGATTTGGGGGATTTTTTTAATAATGTGCAAACATCCAGGTTTCTGATAAATAGAATACAGCTAAATGAAGTCTCCAGATTCTGCTACTAAAAACCCAGTCCTGAACCAAGATTGAAACAGGTAAACCTTTCACATTTGCTTGGAGACCCAACCAAGTCCAATAACAATCTATAGAAAAATAAAACCTATCACAGGACTGCCACTGCTACACTACATCAGCTTTCTACCCGGGTCCCAGGCTAAACTGGAACTATACGTGCTTTATTTTGCAGACCAGTAAATATTTTTTATGATCTAGTATTTATAGCGTAGAGCACCAAAACATCTCAAGTCCTATCATTTCACTGAGAGACTAGATTTGAAATGTGCTAGGAAAAAAAAAAAATCAGCCTTCAAGAGAACAAAGGATCCTTATGATTGAGTTACTAAAACTGTACTTACATTCATGTAATCGTACAGCCTTTCTGAAGCAGTTCCTACCGACAGCGCAATATCTGCAGGGAAGCAATGCAGGTACCTCCGGGCAAAAATGTCAGGGTGGTGATTCCTCCAAAATTCCTCTAATTCTCCATTCTCCTTCAGCTGCTTCTTGATAGATTTGAATCGAATGAGGGGGACTCTATGCAAATAAAATAAACACACCAAAATTAACTGGCTCTCCTTCCTAGAGCTCTCGTGTTTCTTCTTTGAGACCTTGGTTAGCCGGCTGAGACACGTGCTGGAGATGCCAGATGTCTTTTCTTACCGTTCCACAGCCACAGTCAATGGGATATAAACCACAGCCAAGAGTATCACCCTCATGGCTCCGGGCGGTTTGGAGTCTAATAATATTTATTTACTCAGAAGTCCCTTTTTTATACCCCGTTGTCAGCAGAGGGCTGCTCGCCAGGTCAATCAATCACAGGAGGTCAGTGCTTTGGCAGAAAATGGATTAATTTGCTCTCAGAGTAACAACTAGATTGTGCAAATAATGCTGTCCAGTGGAGCTACTAAGGCACAGATAACGAGGACACAGTCTAGATTAACAAAGCATTTTACTAACAATCTTTAATGTCTTTTACATAAACATAATACACGGGATAAGCTCCCATTAGCATGGGAAAGAGGAGGCACTCCAAGGACTTGCCTGGTTGCCTCCAAGTAAGCTGCTTTTCAAGCTCACTTAGGTGAGAAGTGGCCCGTAAGTGTCCAGTGCAGAGAAAGAGGACATAATATATAACCATTTCCCTTTTACATGGAGACATCTCAGCAGGGCTGAGCAGATGGCCATTTGATAGGGTTGTGACAAGTCATCCCCTGGCAACTGAAGCTGAATCCCCTATTTATGAGAGAGCTCTGCTCCAAACATAAATGTGATTGCCAACCCAAGAAATAGGTGTTATAAGTAAAAAAACATGACAGCCTGCAACATAGAGTAATAAACAGCTGGTGGTTCTGTACACATTTCAGCAAGATGTTTGGAAGTGCTCACTTGGGTTTGTTTTCCTGTGAGTTTCCTCCGGCTAGGGGTTCCCACCCCTGCCACACGCTTAGGTTCAAGTCAAGCTGGCAGAAAAATAATGATGTCAAGAAGAGACTCTGATGTGAGAGAGAGCAACCCCAAACCCATTAGCTGCCTGGGAGGAAACTCAGCACTGAGTCTGCAATTTACTTACAAGACTTTCTGAATCTTTCCTCTGCACGAGAAAGTGCGGTGAGAAATTACATGCTGCAGCCCAGCACACATTAAAGCTAAATTTGAATAATCAGCCATTTTTGTTCAAAAGCCTATCCTAGGATACTGGGAAAAGAGCAATGATGATTTTTCTGCTGCAGTACCCCACTTATTTAAAATAAACTGCTCACCATGTGAAGGTGAACTGGAACTAAGTAACCCCCAGCAAAAGAGAATAGCTGTGTGGCAGTGTGTAGGAAAGAGAGAATGTCAAGAACACAGAGGAGGAAGAAGTCATTATCTGCTCTAGCAACAACGCTCCAGTGAAGAAAACGAACAGAAAAAAACAAATACATACTGTTTGTGAGTGAAGGAATCTAAATGCCTGTCACAGACTTTAAATAAATGTAAAGCAAATCACTATCAGCATTTACTAAAGAAATTATTTTTAAATTGTTTCTTTAAGGCTCTTAAAATCAACTAATTTAGAGCTCCATTCATTAGTCCCCTGGGTTTTGAAATACATGTTTTGGTTTCAAACTTACCTCCAAAATTGTGAGAGCTACACAAACTCAGCAAAGGCTGAGCCTGGTGTCACCACATAGCTGTGTGAAGAACTTTGGATCTGAAAAAGCATCAGCATCTCTGTTCTAATATTTAATTTCAAAAAATAATAAAATCTGAAAAATGCAATGTTTATATTGCTTTGCATTTTATTGTGATTTTCTTTTAACACTGAACTGGGGAACTGAGCAGTGTTCCCCATTTCTTCTGGACTCAGAGGTTTTACACAAGTAAAAACGTTTTACACGAGCTACTCATCAAGCAACCACATTTTCTGTCCTGCAGCCATCCCGGCCACTGAGCTGCAGGAGCTGGTGCTGGAACTTTCAGAGAGCAAAGGCATTCCTCCAGGAGCCTACACGTGCCACCTGACACACAGCAGAGCAGATGTCATGCCCTCTGGTAGGACAGTGTCGCTTTGACAAGAGCGAGACAATGTCTGTGCTGAGTGCCTTTATCGCTTGAACTTTTCCTCAAATGCCACAAATGCTTCTGGGAAGTCATTAACGTTCACGTTGGAGGGCATCAGGATAACTTTGAAGAGATGAAGTG